CCCATTCCAGACAGAGGGACTAACTAAAGACAACACCCTAAAGCTAAAACAAGCTTGACATATTCAAGAAATAGGAAGCAAATTCTGTTCCCTGGAATTATCAGACAAACAAGAGAGTAGCTTTAGAATAGTTTAGTCAGATAGATAAAAGTCAGTTCATGTAACACTTTGTAAATCGGGAGAGCAGACTGAATTTTACTTCAGTTAAAAACAGAAAGCCCCTGAATTATTCAAAGTAAAGTGGTCTGATTTAGTTTGAAGTAGTCACTGGCTGCTATGCAGAGTTGTAGGGGGATAGGTGGAGTATGGATTGTAAGCAAAAGACTAGAAATAAGGAGACAAGTTAGAAAGCTCTTGCAATTTCCAAGGTCAGTGTTGAAGTGGTGTGGATTTAGGTGGATGGTAGGAGAGATGGAGAAAATTGAACTGTCTAGATTTTTTTAAGTAATAGAGGTAATGGCATTTGCTGATGGAATGAAGTAGGGATGAGAAATATAAATGAACAAATAATAACTCTTTTGGTGTTGAATGAGCCATTTAGTAGATATAGAAATATAACCCCATTTAGCACATTATTAAGAACTGGAGAAGATATATGTGTGGAAAGAAATCAAGTGTTCCCTTTTAAAAATGCTGAGTTAGACTATTTTATGTCCTAATGGAGAAGTAGCATAATTAATCTGATATTTATCCACAGTTTCAAAGAGATTGGTGTTGTATTGGAACATGTGAAACTAGATAGGCTAAGCTCAAAATTATGCTAAGATAGAAAACAGGAGACCCAGAATGGAAAATACAACATTTGAGTCAAGAGAGAGGACCCGGCACAAAAGATGGGTAGGAGTGCAAGAGGGATGGCAGACAAAATGATGAATTTTATGTAAAGGAAATCAAAAGAATAATGACTTAAAAAGAAAAGAATCACTGTTTTTGATGCATATGATAGAGAAAGAATAGAAACAGAATTGAGGTTTGAATTTGGAAAAATAGAACTCTTTGATTTTGATAGAGCTGAGAGGATGGAAGACAGATTAGGGTAGATGGAGGATAGAAGGTGAGGTGAAATGAGGTCATAGTTTCTTTGGTCAAATTTTTCAAGAACTTTTTTTAATACAAGGGAACAAAAGGGTAAGATGATAGGTAGAGGATATTGAGTCAAGGGATATTGTTAATATAGAAAATTCTAAAGTACGTTAAATTCCTATGTGAATAATTCAGCGAGATATTAAAATATTGATAATGGGGACAATTGAGCAAGAGACATTCTGGAGAAGAGGGAGACTTGTCTCTATAGCAGCAGAGGAGGAGATGGCCTAAAACTATAGTTAGGACAGTTCTTCCATTGTAAAAGGAAAGAAGATAAAGATATGAATAAGGATTTTCACAGATTGATGCATTTCTGGGAGGCATATGAAGTAGCTCTTGTCTGATTCCTTCTGTTTTCCTCATAATAGATGAGGTTGCATCATCAGTTGAGATTTTCTAGCATTTCAGCACAATCTTGCTCCCTGTAATGCTATTTCCCATATCAGAAGTGCTATAACACCAGAAATCACATTTCCCAGACATCCTCACCATCAAAGTTTGGGGATGTGTTATCATTGGGAAGCCCCCAGTGCTGGTAAGAAGAGCAGGAAGCAACAGGGTTTTTGAAAGGGCAAAATATAAGGTTGGGTTTCTGTAGCTACTGGGCCAGAGTAGTGCCTGTTTGTTCAGGGGGATAGTCATTTCCTAAAGTTATTGACTTCCAGGTAACGCAGCCTTCCCTTTTTAAACATTTCAGTCCTTCCAACAATTTTGCAGCCTATTTCCCTCTACAATCTCTATTTTTTTTAATTTTTTTAACGTTTATTTTTGAGAGACAGAGAGAGATAGAGCATGAGCGGAGAAGGGGCAGAGAGAGAGGAAGACACAGAATCCAAAGCAGGCTCCAGGCTCTGAGCTGTCAACAGAGAGCCCTATAGGGGCTTGAACCCACAAACCAGGAGATTATGACCTGAGCCGAAGCCAGACGCCCAACTGACTGAGCCACCCAGGTGTCCTCCTCTACAATATCTCTTGATGCTTTAAGTATATAGAGTGGTAGCTTCTGTTTTATTACCTGAATCCTGACAGTTGCCACAGTGATGAAGTCTGAGGAAAAGAAGGTCTGAAATAGTCATTGAGAAGGGCAGTATACAATGCTATAAAACAAGCCTCTTACACTTGAAATAAGACAGAGTTGAAGAATATCAACTACTTAGTCCCTTTCTTTCTGCCCCTGCTATGATATGTGATTCATTAAGCAACTTCAGAAAATCACCCAAGTGTCATGGAGCCTAATTTTGAAATCCCCAGTAAATGCTTTACTATTCCATAAAACACTAGCAACATATGTTTGCTCACCCAAAATCTGAGCCCTGTCAATGGCAGGATTTCTTAACTTATTAGACCATTTTACTTTTTAAGCAAAATAATTTTTATAGATTCTTAAATGTGCCATTCTATAACTTTTCTCATTGTGTATTTGTTTTGTGATCACTTTGAAAAAAATGAATTTCTTCTTCACATAACAGCCCTTAAATATTTTAGGATACCTATTATGAAAACTTTTTTTTTAATTCTTTACTATAAAATCCTTCCAGGTTTCTCCTTTTAGTCAATGGTACTAAGTCTACTCAATATCCTGTCTTCTGGCCCTAATCAGGTTGGTTAATACCCCCTCTTAAATCATGGCAGCTGGAATTGTATAAGTACAGTATGAAAAGCCTGGAAAAAATTGACAGAGTTGCTCCCTTACATCTAAGTTTACATCAGCATTTATTACAAATATATTACAAAATATATTTATGCACTGATAAATATATCTGTAACAATCAACTAATATAGCTAAGATTTTTTTGCTGTTTTTTTTGACTATATAATCTCTATATTTTTAAATTTAGTTTTTAGACATATTCAAGATTTACGTTGATCTGTAATTTCGCTTCATTGGATTTGGCTTCTTTTTAGACCTTTTCTTGGATACTCCTTCAGTCATGCACCATATTCACCATACTACTGCATCTAATTACATCAATTGGCAGATTTTATCATCACAGCATTATTAGTTTCATCCAAATCAATGTCGAAAATATTTATGGATGATTACTCTAGGATTACATTGGAGACTTAAAATCTATGTACATTGTTTAAAATATGAATGCATTGTTTAGGACTATCAGAAGTAAGAGCACATGCAGAATAGAAAACTTAAAAGAAGGAGGCAAGTGGAGAAAAGTATGGGCTGAGGCCTATGATGGTAGTGAAGAACCACAAGAGTAGGGAAGGGCACTGTATTATTTGCTAGGGCTGCATAACAAAGACTACAGGCTGGGTGGCTTAAAGAACGGAAATTTATTTTCTCACAGTTTGGAGGCTGCAATTTCAAGATCAAGGTGCCAGCAGGGTTCATTCCCTGTAAGGCCTTTCTCCTCAGCTTGCAGATGGCCACCCTTTTGCTGCCTCTTCACATACTCTTTCCTTCATGTTTGTGCATCTCTGGTGTGTCCAAGTCTCTTCTTCTTGGAGGAATAGCAATAATTTTGGATTAGGACTCACCCTCATGGCAATCATATTAACTTAATTATCTCTTTATAGGCCCTCTATCCATACAATCACATTCTGAGATATGGGGTGAAGGCTTCAACATATGAATTTTGAGGGAACACGATTCAGCCCACAGCAAGTAATTATACTGACAACAAAATATGAGACTAGAGAATTACAGAAACAAAAGAAAGAAGGGAAGAGGGAAAGAAGTGGGGAGAAACATTGAGATTAGTAGTTTAAGCAAGAAGGCAGAGGTAGAAGAGTGATTAAAGACACTGAAAACATAAACTGACATCTGTTTAGTTTCATAATCTCTATGGCACGATACTTGAGCAGGCTTGCAACATTTCCAAGGCTAGAGAGCAACTCTGGTTATTCCTGTTTCATACCACTGCCCCAGAAAGGAGTCAGAAATTCTCTGCATTCTCCTATAAGCTTTAAGCTGTTCTAAAATTTTTCTGAATAAATGGTATTTTATAAGCATTATTAATTCCAGGACTCTCTTAAGATGCCAAAGCTCATCCTGTCCCTCCCTGTTGCCAAAAATGATCAAAAATGTCAGATTTTATCTGATTTGAAATTTCTTCAGTTTTGATACTATTTATGTTCTCTTCTTGAAATCTACTTCTCCACTGCCTTCCTCCACCCTATACACTCCAATTTCCCTTCCCGTCTTTTTTACTACTAACTCTGCATTTCTCCTGACACCTCTTAAAATTGAATCCTTGAGAGTTTCATCTTTAGGTCTCATTCCATTTGTATTAGTTTGCTGATTTGGCCTCATGTGCTTCCAAGGTTTCACCCTTCATTCCTTGTGTTACAGGCCCACAGAGTGCATGATTTTTCCTTAGGAGATCTCCAGTTAATTGCTCCAGTGTACTTAAAACTAAATATATTCAGAGTTAAACTCATTTTCTCTGTTACTTTCTTACTTATGTTCATACCTGCTATGCTTCCTGTGTTACTTTTTCTGGTTAATGAGTCTGTTATGTAGTTAATGGCTCAGGTTAGGGGAGTCATTGGGTAAACATCATCCCAACGGTTGTCCACTCTCATTGCTATTAGAATAAAATTCAAATGACTTACTATGGTGTCACAAAGACACATGCATGACTTGACCCTTCATCTCAGACATGATCTCCTATCACATTCTCCCTCTTTTACTGTGTTTTATGTACATGGGAATCTGCTTATCCTTAAGAAGATATGCTGGCGCCTCGGAGGCAGTAGGCAGCCTCACCACGAAGCTGAACATCTCTTTCCCAGCTACTGGCTGCCAGAAACTCATTGAAGTGGACGATGAACGCAAACTTCATACCTTTTATGAGAAGCGAATGGCCACAGAAGTTGCTGCTGATACTTTAGGGGAAGAATGGAAGGGTTACGTAGTACGAATCAGTGGTGGCAATGAAAACAAGGCTTCCCCATGAAGCAGGGTGTCGACCCATGGCCGTGTCCGCCTACTGCTGAGTAAGGGGCATTCCTGCTACCGACCACGGAGGACTGGAGAAAGAAAGCGCAAATCTGTTCGGGGTTGCCTTGTGGATGCCAATCTCAGTGTTCTCAACTTGGTCATTGTGAAAAAAGGGGAGAAGGATATTCCTGGACTCACTGATATTACTGTGCCTCGTCGCCTGGGGCCCAAGAGAGCTAGCAGAATCCGCAAGCTTTTCAATCTCTCAAAGGAAGATGATGTCCGCCAGTATGTTGTGAGAAAGCCCCTAAATAAAGAAGGTAAGAAACCTCGAACCAACGCACCCAAGATACAGCATCTTGTTACTCCACCTGTCCTCCAACACAAACGTTGGCGCATTGCTTTGATGAAGCAGCGCAGGAAGAAAAACAAGGAAGAGGCTGCAGAATACGCTAAGGTTTTGGCCAAGAGAATGAAGGAGGCCAAAGAAAAGCGCCAGGAACAGATTGCCAAGAGACGGAGGCTGTCTTCTCTGAGAGCTTCTACCTCAAAGTCTGAGTCCAGTCAAAAAGGAGATTGTTGTAAGAGGAACAAATAAATAAGATCAGACATAAAAAAAAAAAAAAAGATATGCCAAACTTTTCCCCATCTTAGGATATTTGATCTTCCCCTGACTATCACTCCACAAGATTTTCAGATGACTTATTTGTTCTCAACATTTGGATCTCAGCTCAAATGTCTCTCATTATCAAGATCTCTGTTCAAATGTAACCTTCTTAACCCACAATGTCATCACCATTTGTCACTCTCTGTCCTATTATCTGCTTTATTTTCTTTATAGCACTTATCACTTTGGAATATCAGGACTGGTCTGTCTTGCTTATTAAAATCTAATCTTGCATTTCCATTTTCACAGTACTAAAGTAGCTCTTAATCATGTACAAAGTGATGTCTGAAATTTTTACCATAGTATATAAGCCCCTCATTATCCTGTCCTACCACTCTCCATCTTGTTTATTTTATGTTAATTGCCATCCTTCCATATAGAAACCCCTTTCACTTTATGCTGCAGTTATTCACAATCAAGTTTACTGCATGCCTAATATCCAAAGTCTTCTGTTTACTCGACTTAAGCTTAATATTCTTATCCATAAATTGGGGACAAGGGAAGAAGTATGAGATGGAGGAAATTTTTTATTTCTAAATTTGCTCTGATAACGTAATAATATATGTAACGTGCTGTTTATACGGACTGTCACATAATAACCACTCAATAAAAGCTAGCTATGATTCTTGTGACTACTCCATTCCTATTGTAATGCTGGTAGAGATAAAATCCATATAGCTATTATGGTGATTGTAACTTTCAAATAGTTTATCTTCTCAAAAAGGGCAATTTTGTCACTGTTAGCACCCTACTTAAAATGTTCTCAAGTTTTTTATATTTCCACATCTGCTCCATAGTGACAAAGTGTCAAAAGCATAAGTTGAAAATGTGACAAATATTGCATTTTCATTAAAATATAACATTTCAAGCCAAAGTGCATTCACATTTACAATATGTTTACTTACATTTTTTCTGTAATCATGAAATGACATATGACTGTGTAATCCCAAGAAAAGTGAAGAATATGCATAGACATATAAATATATATGTATATAAATTCTCTATTAGCATTATAATATGGTTTCTTATTACAATTTATTGTTATACAGTACATTACTACCATCCTACTCATATTACAAATTTAAACTACTTAAAACAATTTAAATTTTTGTTTTGATAATATGGACAGAATATTTCGATAAATTATGATTAGTAAACTTAGTAGGACATTAAATTATAATTATTAACTTATCAAACTGGACAGACCTGAAAGGAACATTAGATCCATTTCACATAATACCTTGTATGATTTAAAACTCGAAAGGAGAAAACAAATATTAGGATAATAGTAGTCGAGTCTACAAGTGGTCTTTTCACTTTATTGATCCAGTGAACTAATCAGAATCATTTTTATTTTGTTTTCTTCTGTTAAATAAAAGCAGGAGGTATAAGAGCCATATGATAGTTACTAACATAATGAACTGGGACTGTCTAGCACAATGGGTCCATTGTATTTGCCTCGTAACAAAGTACTGGAGAGTTCATTCAAAACTGTATAAGCCAGGTGGCATACTAATTTCCACATCAATATATCATTGAATACACAGTAATAGAACCTTAAGGCAGATGGTGTTTTGAAAAATCATTACACATGGGAAGTCTCTTATCTGTAAAAAGAATGTCTGAAACATATCTATTTCTATGATGTAAAAGACCGCAAAATCCAAATCCTAATATTATAGCAAAAACTTAGAAGTTATGCCATTCAGTATTCTTCCAAATCACAGAATTCTATCACAAAATTTTGAAAGGTTCTAGCTCATCCTTTCTTTAAAATCTTTCAAGGATGAGTAATTTGGCATTCCACATGTAATCTCATTTTTTAAAAGGTAAAAAAACAAAGCAGAACTTATTATAAAACTTCCTTTTAAAAGTTGAATTTAAAACTCCCTTTTAGTTATTCTGTATGTTTAATTAGGTCTTATTCCCTTTCCAGGAGCAGCCTCTTTTTTGCTCTGATAATGGATTTCATGCTCTAATCTCTTCTAACTCAATATAATTGCTTCTAGTACCTACGATGGTTTTTACTTTTCCCCAATTCCTAGGCCTAGTGTTACTCTGGTTGCAGCACTATGGAATTGTTCAGTTGGTTCATATCTTCTAGGAGAGAACAAAATACAGCAGAGGTATCTTGCATACTAAAGTGAGACCATACAGAATCACAGAAACAACAAATCACAAATCTAAAACCACATATGTATATCCCTCATCATTCTGTTTTTCATTCTATTCTATAATCTAGTCAAAATCTCTCATGAACATTTCCAATAATGGAGAAATTTTTGACTCCAAAGGCAATGATTTCTATTTCAAGCAATGAAGCTATTTTTGAAGTCTTTGTTTTTAGTGGGAATCATATATTCTTTATCTTATATATTTAATTAATCTTGCTTCTGATATTTTAGTCCCATAGCATAAATGTACTTGCTTTTCACATGAGAAATATTCAAATATTTAAAAATAGATAGTTATGCCCTGCCTCTCATTCCCATCTCTCAAATCTGCATTTATTTTATTTATTCTAAACACATTTTATACAACCTAAGAAAACAGTAGCTTTCTGATAGTAAATCACTTATATTTAGCTAATGGTCTAATAAAACTATTGCTGTTCATTCCTACAGACTACACTTTTTTTTCACTCATGTATTCTTTTGTATTTTCAAATTTTCTCAGCATCAAAGAATTGAGATCTAGAGATATAATATTAGGATGTGAGTTTGGGAATATTGACAAAAGAAGCTATTAGATCCACTTCCATTCCTACAGACATATCTTAGACCCTCTTTCTCCAAGTCTCATACATTTCCCACTGGTGGGTCACTGATTGCTTTATTCATCCATTAAATTTGTATTAATCATAGTCTTATTTGTATGCCAATTATATTAATAGTATAAACAGGAAATAAATGAGAACTCCCCCCCACCCTTGGCATGCTTTTATATCATATTAGAGATGATTTTTTTTTTTGTATTACTGCTTAGGGTGAGGTTACAATAGAGAAGGGAGGAAGAGAAGAAGGAGAGAGAAAAATAATAATAATATAGTATAAACTGCAAAAAATACACTATAAACTACAAAGTTGACAAAAATTATGAAGTTAGGACACAATGACTTAGATTAAGTAAACTCTAATTTAATCCTTGCAGTTCCATTTGACCCAGACTAGTTTACCAGGACTAAGTATGGATGGCCAGCATTCAGCTAGTAATACATGTTCCTTTAGTTCATCTACCAAAATACCTGGGTTTGAATTTTGACTCTACTAGCTACTGTTTGTGTGAACTTGGGTAACTGTTTAAAACTCAGTATCTTTATTGAAAAATGGAAATTAAAGTCACTACCTCAGTAGTTTATTTTAAATAAAGTATCCATGTAAAAAGCTTAACACAGTACTTGATACATAGAAATACATCAATAAAGCAGCTTTTCTATCATCATCATCATCACCATCGTCATCATTCTTTTAAAGTTTATTTATTGAGAGAGAGAGAGAGAGAGAGAGAGAGAGCACTCAGGAGGGGCAGAGAGAGAAGGAGAGAGAGGATCCCAAGCAGGCTCTACACTGTCAGTGCAGAACCCAACACAGGGCTTTCAGACTCATGAACAGCAAGATCATGACCTGAGCCAAAATCAAGAGTCAGATGCTTAATCTACTGAACCACCTAGGCACCCTATCATTTTTCTTTTACTATTTCTTCAGGACCTTTCCTTGGGTTGCTATGGCATGATGGAATTTGGACATTTACTATCCTACCTATGATGGAGACAGCCTTAATGTTCCCTTCAGCATGACTAAACTTTAAACACATTTCCTTCTGATTTGGGGTCTCAAACTACCTTTTCTTAGAGTTTTTGCTTTAGAAATTTGCAATTATAAATTCTTTTTCTTCCCCTTTGAGAAGTAAATTCTTTTCTCAGCATCTTATAAGTTTTATAGCTCAGGAATGTCTTTCTCAAGGGCCCAGGAGCCATCTCTTTAAAATGTAATTATCAAGAAAGATACTATCCATATCTTCCAGGATCTGAGGGAATGTAGAAACCTAACCAATAAGGAACAATTAGAAAACAGGTATGACTTAATCATATTCAACAACCTCCCTTCTAATAATCTCCACTGCTTTTACACTATGTCACCCTACCTTTTGTTTCTGCAGAGTTGAGTTGAATCTCTCTCCCCTTTTACAATGGTCTTTAATAAAGTTTTCCATCCCTATTTAGCACTGTCTGATGAAATTCTTCTTGGACAGATTACAACCAGATACTGAAACTTATAATGTAGAGTTCAAGTGTAAGCTTAACCAGAGCTTTTCCTAGGATCCCAACATTCCTGGGTACGTCTGAAGGACTGGTTGTGCATGTCTATTTGGAAACTATTTGTATCATAAACTAAGCTGGGACTTGGGTAAACATTATGCTAAGAGAAGGAGGAGAAAAGATCAGGAGGTTGGTGTCATAACAATGCCCCACTAAGGCAGGGACCGTTTTGAGTGCATGATGGCCCAGTTCACACTGACTTCAGACTCATCCCTAGTCACCTCTTATTTGAGTCCTGGGAACTGTAAATAAATTAGAAAGAACTAGTTCACCAACAATTCTGTACGATTCTCAAATATCCTTGAAAGTCAAAGATATAAACAGAAGTAAGAGAAAAATACATCTGCACTTGTATGCAAAAAAATATAGTATGACCTAGGTAGGATGTCAACTTAATAGCTGCATGAGTCGTTTTAGTGGCAGAGTTCAGAAGGCTGCCCAAAAAGTAGTAGCATTCCTGGAAGGTCAACACAATGAACTTTTGGTAGCATCAGCAGGTGACAAAATTATAGCCAATTGCGTAACATGGCACATATCTGACTTTATACGTATCTGAAGCTTCTGAATTAGACATAAAAAGCAAAGAGATGGAATCAAACAGAAAGAAAACAATAGATATCACATTGTATCTAAGTAGCCTGT